ACGTTAGCACACTATCATCTCCATGCCAAAACAGAACATAACACTCAATTGCACTAAATGAAGCAACACCGAGCACTATAATATTGACAATAGCACGGCTTGGAAATCTGAAACATTTAATGCTTTTCATTGTCAGCTCTATGAAAATAACTTGAGAAGTTCAATTTGCATTCATGTGGGAACTAAACTAATTAACTTTCTTAAACTCATGAATTTTACAGTAGTCATTCGATTAACAAACAAAACAATGAAAATACGCTCTCTAGAAGCCTCAATCTGATTCTATTAACCCAAAACTTTTCATGATTCACACACTAAACTTCCATTTTTGAGAACAAAGAAAAATTACCCAATTGAATTAGCTGTCTGCTGAAAGTGCCCAGCGTACGACTGTCTTCTGCAGCAGCAACCTATATCAGCAGTTAAAAGAAGAAATAACCTGAAACCACCAGGCTTGTTAAAGATCAATTCGAATACAAACAAAACTCATTTATGGATTATATAATCAATGTCGATGACTCAATAAACTCTAATCTCAGAAAAGAACAGTAAAACCTCTTAGACATTTTATCGAACAGTTAGCAGACAAGATCCTGGAAAAAATCTATGAAGACGATACCATAGCAGCAGATTTATAAAAAGAAAACCACTATGAAGTCTGAGTTGTACAACAATATTGTACGACTCAAGCCTGTCATTTACGTCCTGGTGCAGGAACAGTAAACTCCATATAAAAGGTAAAGTTACAGCAAAGTTCCAACCTTTTTCCACCATATTTTGTACTTCGGATTCCTTGTCTAGATTTTTGTTAAAAAATAAACAACAATATTGTAATACATATGAATATATATGCATATAGTCGGGAATGAGGAATTTTTACCCTATTCTTATGTCTCGAGGTGTATCTGCTGTATGTGATGATTTCATTCCTAGTGCTGAAACAGAAATGTTGAAATCAGAATTAGTTGCAATATACAACTGCTTAATTAATGATTGCTACTGCTCAAATTTCATGATTAGCTTGTTTGTTTCAAACGAAAAATACCCAGTAGTAATTATGACTGGTAGCTAGAAGAACTTCCTTCTTTGTACTTTTCTTCGTCTGTTTTTTGCAATGTCAATCCATTCAGACTTATATCGGAAAGATCCAGGGAGAGATTAGACATTGCATTATTCTCAACAGCTGCCTAAATTAAAATATTATATACTAATTATTCATTTTATATTTATTACTAGTATTTATA